AGAGCGAAATAATACTAATAACACCAATGACACCACAGAATAACACCAATAACACTGCAGATAGCAAAATAATGCCGACAACACAACGGGTGTTACTCGATGTTATTCCGCGGTATTATTGGTGCTATTCCACGACACGGAATAACATCAATAACGCCGCAGACGACGGAATAATACCAATAGCACAACAGGTGTTACTCGTTATTCCGTGGTATTATAATTGTACTTGCATTTAAGCTTATATATATATATAATATGATTCCTAAAACCCTTAAATTTAATTTAAAATGAATGTAATATTCAAATAATTAATTATTTTCTAATATAACTTGTCTTGAAATAAATTCAAACCTTTAAATCCATCTAATGAAATGTTAAATATTCTCTTACATCATTATTATTTATTATCATTTTTTTAAAGATAATCTTCTACACAAACTTGAGAAACAGCGTGAAGTAAAGGATCATTGTGGGCCTGCTCGGCCCACTTCAAAGGCTCCTTACACTTTGGAGACTTAGTTGAGGCTCATGACTTTGTTTGCTACTATAAGAAACATTGTAGACCGCTAAATATTACTTAATGGGCTTTAGTGAATTAGCCTAAGGTGGACATGTGCATTATTATACTTTGTTGATTCCTATTTGATTTGAATCTATTAAGACAATTAAGTTTAATAAGCCAATTGAGTTAATAAAGCACTTAATTAGATTTAATTAACTAAACCAACCTAGCTCAATGAGCTAATTAATGATAATAGATTTAAAGAACTGCTAACAAATTCTTCGTTTGAAATAATTGACCTCAGAGTCTTGAATTATAAGGACGACATCAAAGCCATTTTATAAGGAACATTTGTTGTAGCTATTATTATTGTAAGATGAACTTAAGGGTCTGTTTGGGGCGGCGATGCGGCACTACAGCGTTTTCACATCGGACTTGACTAGGCTTGGTGACAACTTTCAAGGCACGATCTCGTTTTTTCACAAGAAAAAAAAATTGTAATAGCACTCGCAACTTTTTGAACAATAGATTCTTTTTCAGCAGCTTCTAAACAACTTTTTAATTAGACCATAAATGAGAAAAACATTGGCAAATGTTGCAAGTGATAACCCACCAAATGTTATCAATATAGCGATATAATTGAACAATCTATGAGAAATGAACATAATATAATCTCCAAGTAACATGATTATTATTATCATATGCATAATTTTTTGACATCAATATCACATTAATGGTAAACTCGGGGATATGAGATATGTTACTTCAAGCATTTAAATAGATGTGAATAACATGAACATCATCATGCACCCAATATGTCATCTTAGTAGCAACACAACTATGATGGGAGCTTAAGCATCACCTGTTGTTCCACAAGGAGTGAACTTCATAGTTTTTGTCTTCATATTAAAATGCAACATTTACATATTCACCACACAATTATCATGTATTTACTTATCTGGAATACAAACTTCTATATTTACAGAGGTAATACTCAATTTTGTAACATTGCACAGAAAAGTATCATATTACTAGCATTTTAAAAGTTGAACATTTCACGTGCAGATCTATAACATCAGTGTTATAAATGAAAATATCAAACTTTAGACCTTAGACATATAAATACATATAGAAATTACGTCATTCAGACAAATTGGAACAAAATCAAAAAAGGATGACTGACCGACTGCTAAGTGTGACCAACCTTATTTCTAATTTCTAACACAACAAACATTGCTGAAGCTCGTCACGCACTTGCTGTGTTGTTGCCATGCATAGTCCGTTGTTGGATTCAAATCAAAGTTTTCATTTAATTTATTTATACTTAGCACACTGCAAATTAATATTTGCAATTGCACATCGGGAATGTGCTGGCATGAATTTTAAGAAGATCCAATGGTTTAGAAAGTAAAAAAAGTACAACTAAGGAGGGCCCATCAGCAGAAGACCAAGAGGTCCACTTATCTAATAGGACATAGCAGTCCAAACAAAAGCTAAAGTTGACCGAATGAAGTTATCTGAGCTAGGACCAACTAGACTAAAGACATCCAAATGATACGAGTTCGAACCCATCAAACCAAGGTAGGACAAATAGGCATGCAAGCCAACAACCATAAGAAAACCCATCAAGGCTGACAATCAACCTTTCAGTAGACCGGACCCACGAAAAGAACTAGCTCCTCAGTACTATCAATCATCCTATGGACTCCCCAGAGGCTCTTTATCAGAGATAAAAAAGTATCCATGTCACAAAGTCTAAATCCATTCGGCTCTCCATATTGGGGAGTGAGCTACCTATCGGGTTACGATGATTCACCTTCTACCCGATACCTAACATCGCTCAGACGACATGAGCTTATTATCGGTGATCAAAAGTCGACAGTCATACCAGACAAGCCGATCAACAAAGTCTAACTAATCGTGTCAGCCCTGTCGACTCGAAGTCAATTGAAAGCCTATTGGAAACCTTAACTCAACATAGTCAAACGAGCATGCCTCATTGAACTGAAGCCTACCAAGCTCAGCCGATTAAGCTAGAAGGTAGCCGAGTCATAGGCCCATACATGTAAAATAGCTAAAATATCCTATAACGCCTCAATTAAACTAGCGGCAAACATATAACTTCACATATTATACCCGTTTTCCATAACCAGTGCATTATTTTATGAAATAGACAAAATGTTTTATTGTGCCTTATTGTGTACTTTGATCTCTCTCTTTCTCTCTTACTCATTTCTTATGCTCTAACCCTTGAGATGTGATTCAAGGACATGTCCGAATTTAATAATCTAAAAGATGTAGTGAGTGTGGATCATGCAATAGATGAGAAAATGATGGACACATTGAGACGAAAATCACTATAAAGAATTGGTAACCTAGAGTGCACTAGAGAATTCGTAAACCAACAAATCTAGGAGATGAATGATCAAATGTTGGATGACATCTGAGACTCATTGGCTCGAGGAAAGGAGCAGCACCCTTGAGAGGAAGGGTTGACACCCAAAGGCCGAAGGACACCCTTAGCTTGGAAAGGGAAAG